TAGTGCCGTGTGTTCTTGGGGAGAATGGGGGCCCGGGCAGGGACACCAGCTGGCAGGTGAGGGGCAGGCGGGGCTGTCAGTAACGGTAGTGATCGGGTTTGAAGGGGCCGTCCACCGGCATGCCCAGGTACTGGGCCTGCTTCCCCGTCAGCTTGGTCAGCTTCACGTTCAGCTTCCCAAGGTGGGCTTCAGCCACTGCCTCATCCAGCTGGGGAAAAACACAGGAGACGGGAGATTAGTGCCATGTTTGGGGCCCCTTGCCCACCTCCAGCCGGAGAAGAGAGGCAGGAAGTTCGCACACAAACATCTTAGTCCAGCCTCACACCCAGTCTGTGTGCGTTGCTTTTGGGTGCCTCGCTGCCCCCTTCCTTGAGGAAAGACCAGTTGCAACCCTCTCCCCACCCCAACTGACCACAGCACCTAAGCAAAAGGCTTCTCTGAAATGAATCTATGGACAGAGCATATTGTCCATGGCAGGTGGAGAAAGGAGCACCGCCAGGGGGTTTCTACATAGGGAGGTAAACGACCTCAGCTTACCAGTGGGGAGTCTACTTAACCAAAGCGAATACAGACAGAGAAAGAAACAGCTCGGCTGAGAGTCTTTGGGTTAGACTAGTGTGATTGTTTTCAAATTAATTCTTGGACCCACCGGCCTTCACAAGATCGAGCCATCCCTTTGGGTGCCTGCTCCCATTGCACAGACTACAGCAGAAGTGATGGGGGCGACCTTAGACAGGTCCTAAAGGGCCTGGGGTTTCTTCCTTGCTCTCCGTGAATCTCAGGGACACTTGAAAAGCCCTACGGGAGGCGGAGTTTTGCTCTGTGTGCACAGGGTCGTTAGGGTGGGAGCTGACTTGAGGGCACCTAACATCAGCATAACATGGAAAGGCCCATTGGGGGCGGTACGTGGGGGCGGAAGGAGGGAGGACAGAGACCTCCTGCCAATAGCAACGTGAGGTGGGTCCTCCAGCCCCAGTCCAGCCTTCAGAGGCCTATTGCCAGGCTGAAATCTTGGCACCAACCTAACCAACGACTATGAGTCAGAATCACCAGCGAAGCGGTTCTCAAATTCTCCGGCCGCCTACATGGAAATACATTTTTGTTATTTTAAGCTATTAAGTTTTGGAGTTCACTTCTTATACAGCAATTGATTCATTGGTGGTCTGACCAGGGCTCCCTTTTCCCACTCACCACTAAGTGGTATAGTGGGGTTATGTGTTGAGCTACAAACTGCAAGGTCAGGAGTTCAGATCCAGCCACTCCAAAGGAGAAAGATGAAGCTTTCCATAATGATTTAAGTCCCAGAAGAAACCCTATATAGGGACCTAGAATCACTACGAGTCAGAATCAATTTGATGGCCGTGGGTTTGTTTTGGGTACTCCCCCTTTACAGGTGAGGGAATCAAGGCTCAGGAAAAGTGAAATGACTTGTCCACGGTCACACAACCACTAAGTGGCAGAGCTGGGATTAAATTTAGGTCGACCATGCTCCAAAATCCCAGAACTTGTCCTAATCATTTCAACCTCTGCTATTGAAGAGGCTGGACAAATTCCTAGGCATGTAAGGTCAGATAAGACCAATTTCTACCTCTGCTTGGTGCTAAAATGCATAAAAAGGTGCACTTAGTGGCACTTACAGAAGGGTTAATCAGGAAGGTGGCTCTAGGCTTCCCGGCTTTTTGTTCTTGGTGGAACCTTCCTGAGCCCCTAGCTTTGAGGCATAGGCAGCCCATTCCCAAGTGGTTTCACCTCCAGGCTCAGGAAGCCAGAGGGCTTCCAACACTGCATTCTTCACCGAGACAGCCAGCCACATTCTCTCCCATGGAGTGGGCCCAAAGCTCAGCACCACCACCAGGGCTTCCATTGCCTGTCTCTCACAAAAGAAGTTAGGGAAGGCAGGGTTCACTTTGATGTGTGCACATGAAACTTTTCTTGACTTTCTTACTATAGTGGTTACACACAATATTTGACTTTTTGTGATTACTTATTTCACTGAGCACAATGCCCTCCAGGTCATCCATCTTGTGAGATAAGATCGTTAAGGTTCATTGTGCCAACCTGGCCGATAAACACGTGGGGTTAACTGAAGGGCGGAGAGAGAAATGGCAAGGCGAGCCTCTCTTGCTTTCTGATGGTCAGACCAAGGTGCAGCTGCCTTAACCAGTTCCCTGCTTCAGCTGGCAAGGCTCACTTCCTGCAAGACATCCCTGAGAAGCCACATGGATCTACCCTGATGCAGCCCTGGGTGCTCGAGCAGCCATGTAGAGACCCCTGCCAGCGCTGAAATGGTTACCCACCCACTGATTAGGCTTTCCTCCTACATTCAGCGTCATTGCATTTGTTTTGTGAGATTGAGGAAGACTTTGTAGACTGGTGTTGGACTTATGGGCTAATATTGGACTTATGGGCTTGGACAGCACTGGGTTGGGATGCTTTCTTAATGTACATTTACCCTTTGTATAAAACTCTCTTAGACATATAAGTTTCTGTGGATTTGCTTCCCTAGTTTACCCAGACTAACACATGAGATGTTTTACAGACTCATTGTTTTTCTTAACTTTGAGGCGTAGGTACCAGTCTGTTTATTCATTTGTCCTTAAATGGGCACTAAAAAAAAAAAATAGGTTGTTTCCATTTTCTTCTTGCTGGCTACTGTGAGAACTGTTACAATGAACATGGTATAATGTCTCGGGACATTAGACAATCCCACCAGCAGTGCATGAGTTCTAAAATCCCCAAACCCTTGCCTTGCCGGCAGGTTTCTTCTCTTGTAACTATTATAGCCAGGGTGACATAACATCTCATTACTGTTTTGATTTACCTCTCTCTAATGGCGAATGACCGAGGAGCCCGGAGGCACCGTTAGGTTAAGTTGATCACAAGGTTGAAGGTTCAAACCCACTATGCTGCTCCCATTAGATTTATAGATTCTGAAACCCTATATGGTTCACTGAGTTGGAACGGACTCAGTGGCAGTGGGCAAACACTAATGATTAGGAGCACCTCTTGTATTTGCTGCTAATCTGAAAGTCTTTAGTGAAAGGTCTGTTCATTTCCTATGCCATTTTTAGTCGGATTATCGGTCCAGTTTTGTTACTGAGGCATTAATGTTAGTCCCTTGTCAGAATGTCACCGCCAATCTGTAGGCTCTTTTCATCTTCTTTTGAAGTATTAGTAGAAAATAAACTAAGTGACTAGGACCTAGTTGTCTAGCAATCTGTTTATGACATAAATTAGGACCCCTCATTTTTCTTCTATATTTTAGTTTTTACATTTAGGTCTTTGAACCATCTTAAGTTTTTATATAAGTGGTGTGAGGTATGGATCCTATTTCATTTTTCTGCAAATGGATATCCCATTTTGCCAGCAACATGTAGTGGATTTTGCTCCTCGGTCAGAGGTCAGCTGTCCATATGCAGATAGGTTTACTTCTGGGTTCTTAATTCTGTCCCATTGGTCTCTGTGTCTCTTATACCCGGACCAGGCAGCTGACTAACAGCTGTAAAGGTTCTGAGATCGGAAGTGTAAGGCCTCCTAACTTTATTCTTTTTTTCAGTAGTGTTTTTCTTTCCTTACCATATAAACACGGTGATTAGCTTTTCTTGTTAAAGGATGTCGATGGAATCTGAATTGGGATTACATATCTATAGATTGTTTTGCACAGTACTGACATTTTCACAATGTCCTATCTGACTATCCATAAACATAGGATGTTCTTCCGTGCATGTAGGTCTCTTGGGTTCTTATAGCTTTGGGGAGTTCTCGCTGTTTAAAGTCTTTTATATACCTGGTTGGAGTTATTCATATTACTATTATTCTATATCATCAATTTTATTACTATTATAAATGGTATGTTTTCCTGATTCTCTATCCAAAGTTCACTTTGCTAGTTAGTATAGAAGAATCCAACAGATTTTTGTATGTTGATCTTGATCTGTCACTTTGCTGAATCCTCCTGTCAGTTTTCCACCATCTGTCTTGCAGAATCGCTGAGATTCCTACATGTACAATCACATCATCTTTAAGCATCCATCCAGGGGCTTTTCATTTCCCTCTCTTGCCTTATTGCTCTGGCTGGGGTTTCCATTACAGTAAAGGGTGATACAGGGCATCTTTGTCTGATTCCCTTTCTCAAGGGAACCTTCAGTCTCTCAGGGCTTCCAGTCCTTCCCCTCTGAGAATAAGGTTGGCTGTTGGTATTGCATAAATGTCCGTTATACTGAAGAATTCTCCTCTTATGCCTATTATCAGGAGGGGGCGTGAGATCCTACCAAACGTCTTTTCTACATTGACTGATAAGATCGCACGGTTCCTTTCCTTATTTCGTGATGTGGTAGTTGGTGATGACTTCCTAATGTTGAACCATCCCTGAATCGCGGGTATGAGTGGCAGGCCGGCATGCATGCAGTTGCTAAGGGCAGGGGTGAAGGGGAAGGAGGAATGAAGGGGTGGGACAGTAAGTAGCGGGGTGCCTCTCACCAAATGGATGGCAGAGGGAGACAGCTTGGCTGGGTTGGTGAGCAGTTAGTGGGATTACCTGCCCCCACTCAGGTGGATCAGCAGATGCAAGCGGGGAAGGGGAGCAAGTTCCTCTGGTTACTAAGCAAAGGTGCCTGAACTCTTCCCACTGGCTGCAGCCAGCAAGCAGGACCTGATTTCACTCCAAGAAGGCTACACCGCCTGCTGGAAATTCTGTGACGCTGCCTTCTGAGCTCCTGACCCAGAGCACCACTGTCTTTGTCTCAAGATGGCCACACAGTGCCAGCCTGGCTGCCACGCTCCACACCATCTCAGTGTTCCATCAGTTCTCCATCCATTCTTGTTTTATGCTCAGGGTCCCAGGAGTATCATCCGGTATCTGTTCCACTTAATTTCTCAGGTGTTTGCTGTGGGGGACAGTGTGGTGTGCCCCAAACCGCCATTTTGGCCGGAAGTTCACAGCAGGGTATATACTCTGGTATTGAACACATGAAGAAATGAACCCAGAGAAGGTGGTAAAGGCAGGCTCAGACACCAGGCAGAATGAAGTCCTCTCATCCCCAGGGTACAAACAGATTCGTCACTTCCCCTACCTGGCCTAGCCGAGAATGCCCTTCCCACTCCCCGTACCCTGCACCACCGTGTCAGAGTGATTAACAACTTGGGCAGATAAAGGGGTGGGTTCTATTCCTAGCCTGATGCTTAACACCTACGGGAACAAGCCAATCTCTGAACCTGTTTTCTCATTTATAGGATAGATGTAACAATTATGCCCCTCTTGTGGCTGCTACAAAGATGCGAGTATGTAGAGTGCTTGATAGAAGCAGTCGCTTTATAATTAAATGTGACTGCTCTTCATCATTAGCCCTTTGCCCACACATGATCTTGACGCATGAAGCTGAGGGTGTCCTGTCTCTAACCCATGTTCTGGAGGCAATGGAGGTAAGGACAGTAGACTAGGTGCTGGGGTAGGTGGTGAGATCTTTGGCTCTTTTGTTTCCAATCGTGGCTGTATTTCTGAGGCCAATCTTGCCTAACTTTTCACCAAATTCATACTTATCTTTTCCCCAGATGAGATCAGAGGGGGACCAACAGAGAATTTTTCTTAACTCTATGACAAACCTAGGGGGCTGACAAGCTGCGTAGGGCAGGGGCTGCATTCAGCTGAAAGACATGCCCAGGTTGCCCCACTAAGTGATTTTTATTTTATTATTACTATTTATTTTATTTCAAATCATTTTATTGGGGAACCAAGTGATTTTTAAAACCTGTAATGAGTTGCCTAGAATTAAAATGGCAATATTTGTATGAAGACTTTTTTGATATCTGAACTCTCGTCAGAGGTCAGAAGCTCTGGGCCAGTGAGCTCAGGCTTCAAGGTGAAGACAACAGAGTGGCAACCACCCCACTTCTCTGTCAGCTCCCACCCAGGTGCTTCACTCACCTATCTGATCCTTGTGGGCCTGTGGGTTTGAGACCCCTGCTCTAGGGGAACCCTCGATCCCTGAATGCGGTCTGCTGCCTTCATTTGACAGAGGAGACACAAGGTTCTGTCCACTGCAAAGCTCAGGCTCGTCTCCCTACCCAACCCTGCACCTGGGGTGTGCCCCAGAGGAGGGCACTCCCCACCGTGGGTCTGTTTCCTGCTCGGACCAACTCAGGACCAGGTGAAGAGTGCTCTTCAAAGAGGGAGAACGCTTCCTAGACACTGACGAACCCTGCAGAGGAAGCCTAGACACGGACACATGGCCTTGGGCCTGGGATGGAGGCAGGGACCCACCTTCTTGGGCAGGAAGTGGACTCCAACGGGGTACTTGTCCGGGTGGGTCCACAGTTCTATCTGCGCCAGCACCTGGTTGGTGAAGGAGTTGCTCATCACGAAGCTGGGGTGGCCCACGGCACAGCCCAAGTTGACCAGCCGGCCCTCAGCCAGGAGGATGATGCGGCGCCCATTCTTCAGCCGGTAGCGGTCCACCTGGGAGTGGACAGAGCCATGGTTAGGGCTGGTGAACACTGCTCCCACTGGCCACTCTTCCCTCTTTGTCTAACAGGCCTCCCTATCTGCAGACAAACTCCAGCACAGGGCCTAGGGCACACACCAAGTCATAAGAGCCAAGAGCTATCCCGTGACACTGAGCTGCAGAACTCAAGGAGGTAATGAATGAGCCGAGACAGCGAACGCATCTGGTTCTTTGCACAGAAGTTCTCTGTGAGTCGAACCGACTCGATGGCACCCAAGAACCAACACCCGAAGAATAGTAACCTGTTCTCACTCTTATTATTGTTACCGTGGGACCTGTGCCGAGTTCTTTACATCTATCAAGTACATGTATTACTGGATATTATTTATGTATTCATATAGTAATCATATTTAGTCCTAATCCCAACACTGTGATTCAAATGCTAGTAGTCCTCAGTGGCGGTGGGTTTTTATTAACACTGAAAAGGAGCCCTGGCAGGGCTGCAGTTAAAATTTCCGCTGCTGACGGGTGGTTGGTGGTGTGAATCCAGCGACTGCTCCACAGGGGAAAGACAGGCAGTCTGCTTCCCTAAGAGGGGCAGCCTTGGAAGCCCTCTGGGGGCAGCCGTGAGCACTGGGGCTACGTGTTCTGCTAAGACCTGAAAGCTCAGTGGTTTGAAATCACTTACTGCTCAGAGGGGGAAAGATGGGGCAGTCTGCTTCTGCAAAGCGGCCTTGGAAACCTTAGGGTGTAGTTCTACTTGGGTCTATGGCAGCTGTTCTCAATCTGTGGGTCACACGCGACCCCTTGGGGGGGTGTCCAAAGGACCCTTTCACAGGGATCACCTAGTACATCCTACACATCAGATATTTACATGACAATTCATAACAGCAGCAAAATGACAGTGATGAAGTAGCAACAAAAATAATGGTATGGTTGCGGCATACGGCAGGCTGAGAAGCACTGCTCTAGAGGGTGGCTATGAGGCTGAGTCAGAATGAACACCAACAGGGATTACTGCCATTAGTGCGGGCAGGCAAGAGTTCCTGGGGAGAGCCAACAATTAAGCACCAACTGAAAGGTGATTTACAAACCCCATGCCTGAGAGCAGTCTTACTCGTGGGGTCACCGTGAGTCAGAACTGACCGACAGCAACCAACCACCTCAGCACTGAGGGACCAAAGGTCAGGCTGCTGGCCCAGAGGCACACCGAGAAGGGGCTACAATTTGGGCTTAGCGTCTTGAGAACAGACCCTATGTTCTCAACCACTGTGCTCAGGAAAAGCTGACTACTCCAGTCTCAATTCTGGCCTCACTCCCAGAGATGCCAATTTAATGGGTCTAGGGAGATTCTGCCAAGGTTGAGAAGCCCCAGCTGAGTGAGTGAATGAGAAATGAAATGACTCTCCTCAATCCCGGCAATCCTTCTCCTCTCCCAACTGCCTGAAACACACACACACACACACACACACACACACTCACTCACTCACTCACTCCTTTCTGCCCTCCACCCCATCTTTCCTTTGCAATGACTCCCACACATTTCCCAAGATCCCAGCTTTCCAAGCTACCCCAAGAGGCCTATGACAGGTCCCAGGATAGATCTTTGATGTCCCCACAAGATTCGTTCAATAAACATTCAGTGACAACGGTCTGAGCCACGCCCACTGCAGGGAGACACCAACCTAGCCTCAGTCCTCATGGCACAACCAGGGAGACCTGCTGGGGGCGCTGTTAGAAATCTGCCCCCGGCCGGTAATACAAACCAAAGAACCAAAGCCATTGGCATCACACTGACTGGGACTGTGCCGACCCTGCAACGACAGAGCGGAGCTGCCCCATCCAGGCAGTGGCCACGTCTTCCTCCCGTGGAGCTACAGGTGGGCTCAACTGACAGCTTTCCATCTGGTAGCTGAGCACTTAACCACGGTGCTCCCAGAAACGCTCTAGACGCGTACAGAGGCCAAAGGCCTCCCCGAGGCAGCTTATCAACTTTTCCAATCAGAGAAAAATTATGCCGCAATAAATAACTCAGCAATGTTCATTCTTTCCAAAGGAATTCATTTCTCAATACCTCACTGCAAATTGTTCTTCTCCAGCCCCATTTTCCCAGCTCAGTGAATTGGCTCCAGGTTTCAAAGAGCTGTCCAAACCAGAAGCCTGGAATCTTCTGGATCCTTTCCTCATCCAGACCCCACACCCATCACCCACCTCTCCAATTAGAAGCTGCCATCACCCCTCACCAGGACTCCTAAGAGCCTCCATTTAAAGCCTCCTTGTTCACCCCCCACCCCTCTCTCTTACTCACCATTTTCATTCTTCAAGAAGTAACAGAGATCTTCCTAAATCAATTATCTTACCACCTGCATCATACCTGCCGAAAACCTTCTGGGACCCCCACTGACCCTTCCTTCGAGTCAGCTCTGAACCCAGGCTCTCCCACTGCCCAGGATTCACCAGCTTCCTCGACTGCCCCACAGTGGCCAGCCCATGAGCTCACCCCTCCTGGCCCCGCCCGTCTGCCCAGCGGGCTAGCAGGCCTGGCTGGGGTTCCTCACCTGAGGTTTTATGTTCACCTTCTCCACCGAGTTCTCGTTCAGCCACTTGACATCAATCTCCACGTCAAAGTGTCCGATGTTACACACAACGG